GGAGCATGGCGACGCCATCGTGCCAGAATCCCAACCCCACCCTCCGGTGAGATTTTGTCATTTTTTGGTCGTTTCTCGCGTATTTTTGCATTATCTTAATGTACATTTTGATCTTAACAGAAAAATTCAAGAAATTCAAGAATAAAAAATCGTAATAAAAAAAGACGGTGTTCTTGACACCAACCTATGGTAAGAATCTATCGCTCTTTTTTTATATTACGATTAAATTGAAGCTAAACTGATAATAAATGAAAATTTTAATTAATTTGTGGTCCTTTGATTGATTAAGGTACATGTTTACGCTTATTTTGAGTTTTAATTATAGTAGTTATTTCTTCATTCATTTATTATGCTTATCCATTCACTATATTATTTACTTTAATTTATTCGTTTTAATTCTATGGCTAACATGATAAAGTTTCTTAATCTATATTATCGTATTACTCTATTGTGTGTATAATACATTTCTATCACTATAATGTATGTTTATTTCACGTGCATATTCTAAAATATGAATTTCATACTCATGTGTTGTTTGGGATACTGATATACGTGTCCCTTAAGGCAAAATAGTAAATAAAAGTGAAGATATGCTTGAATTAATGGCGTTGAATAAAATAGGCTTACCAGGTCTCTTAGAAAAGAGTGTACGTACTTAGTGAATAGGTTAAATTCTATCATGTATGTTATCCTCAATCGTACGGAGCTGAGAAGTCTCATACTATAAGGGGTTGAAAATTGTTTTAATTACTCTAATGCTAGATGGGGTATTGAGACGATTATGTATTTTGATGCTCATCACCAAATGGGGTATGAGGACAACCGTTTGATTATAGAATGAATGTTCGTGTCCACGTATAGTGGGGATCCCTATGGACCCCTAATGATACCGGTATGCAAGAAAAATTGATAAAGACGAACATGGTAAGGAATCCAGTTTTTGAGAAATAGCATAAGTGTAATTGTTAAAAGTCCTTTAGAATGTATATTGTAGATTGTTATTTTGATTTTTACTTTAATAAATGACATTTAAGAATTCACAATTGAGAAAATATTAACATTTTCAGTTAAACGAATAATGAAAACACTAGCGTTCAAATTTTATTAAAAATGAGTTTCATTGGTTGTTTTATATTTTCTACAACTATTTAATTTTCCGTATCAGTAGGAAGGTGTTGATATTTTTACTAAACTAGTATAGTTCATCCTTTTATTATTAACAATTTCATATCATCACGACAAATACCCGAATCCTAAACAATAAGAAACTAGTTAGGAGATTGTCTTTTCCGCTTTTCCAGTTTCAAGTAGAGTTTAATCATAATTATTTTCTCTTATGCTTTTCTATTAAAATTTTCAAGAGCATTCTCGTAGCTCTATTTGATATTTTAAGTAAATTATGTTAAGTAATGTAATCCTAAACTCTAATTGCTTTCACTAAATTATAAATTTCAGTATTATTGAGTTATACGCTCAGAATCCTAAATAAAGGGTTTGGGCTTTTACAAAATATGTATTTGAGTGGACTTAATTGCGACTTATACTAAGAACAAAAGATGTTACGTCATTTCGTACGTAAGCCACCAATATATCTTAATTGTGTTATTATCATCTACGTGAAATTTGACACATGGATGACGTTTAAGCTTATAAATCACTCAGAAGATAAGTAATGGATGTGTAAGCTACCGAATAATTAAAAATATTACTAAAAGATATTTTTATTTGTAAATATATTTATTTAAATATTATTTGAAGAAAAATTATAATATTATAATACATTTTTTTTTTGTCATTTGACAATTTTTCAACTTACAAATTATTTTTTTAACCAAATATTTCTAATTCTTATAAAGTTTAAAAGTAAGAAGAAAAGAAAAAAAACAATTTATTTTTCACACAACGTTATAAGTCATAAGTCATGTAATTTAAGTATACAATTTTTATTTAATATTATAGACTACTGACATTCATAATAGCGATAGCATATTACAATCTTAAAATGAAAAAAATATTAAAATATTAAAGTCAAAATATGACTTTAAATATGATATATGCACGAATTACATTAAATATCAACTGACAATTAACAACAATATATATATTTATCATATAATAGTATGTTTTGAGAACTTTAGTTTATCATACATCAAAAGTTTTAATTTATTTCACTTATATTTTTAGTAATTAACATAAAATTAGTTGAATTCACGTAATTAATCAACATCCTCCATAAGTTCATTTATAATAGGACGAGCTTTACACAAGGCCTCTAATGGCTTTAATTTCGACATGGTAATTCCTTTTCCTTCTTCCATGTTGATCTCCTCCTCGTTAATTCTCTCCCATTCAAAACATTGAATCAATGAGCCTAATGTTAGACACACCATTCGTTGAGCCAATCCTGCACCTGGACAAGTCCTCCTCCCTAGCCCAAATGGCATAATCAATTTCTCAGCATCTACTTCATCATTTCTGAATCGATCTGGATTAAATTTTAATGGTTCTTCCCAAATTTCTGGATCTCTGTGTATAGTCCATGCATTTGTCATTAAAATTGTATTTGGTGGCATATCATAACCATTGATGATACAATGATTAGATGACATGTGAGGTATTAAAAGAGGAGCTGGTGGGTACAAACGAAGTGTCTCAAATATAATATTTTGGAGGTATTGAAGATTGGAAAAATCTGATTCATCAATCAAACGGTTTTGACCAACTTGAGTATCAATCTCAATTCTAGCTTTGATCAATGCATCACGATGGTTGAGTAAATTTGATAAGGCCCATTCTATCGTAATTGATATTGTGTCGGTTCCAGCACTTAATATCACCTTATAATACATGATTAAATTAATATTACTAGTTAATCACAGAAAAATATTGTAAAAACAAAGAAGATTAGTATAAAGTAATGAAAGATTGACATAAAACATAAATTCAATAAATCTAT